CTTAGTACATATAAGATACATAAATGTAGTTTCATTTGTCTGAGTACAAGGTTTTATTTTTTCAATTTTGCACCATGTTTTGTCCCAATTCTCAAGAATGACTGTACACCATTTATACTGAAGGTTCCCACCACATTTTTACTTTCTGAACGTCAGGCACAATGCTGAAACATTCCCACATACCAAAACCGCCAACTCGGACCATGACAGCATGACCTTTAGAGTGAGAGAGAGCTGTCTTTATTTTTTTGCAATTCCACTCGGCTCTTCCTTCAGTTCCCATTATAAAGTTTGTGTGAGAGCATATCGATTTGCTGCCTACAACGCTGTTCATTTTACCTTTATAGCCGGAGGTTGGGACCAATGTGGAATGCTAATAGTGTGACATTCTTCTGTGTTCTTGCTCAGGCTTATGGGATATCATGCTATGAGTTCTGCTTATTCACAGTGGCCGGTGTTCTGACGATTTGTGCTACCTGCTCAGATTGTGCTGCTACCTCCCATTAAAAAGATAGGTAGCACAAATCGATAGCGAAAAATGCGACCCAGCAGATTGTGCTACCATCATCTTATTCATGTAGTTTGAGGCTTATTTAAATGTCCATAACTACCCCTACCCTAAACCTACCCACCCATATCTACTCTTACCCTAAACTTACCCTTAAAACAATGCAAATATATTTTTGGTAGCACAATCTGATAGGTAGCATGTTTCGTCAGTATACCGGCGAATGTGCCTAGCACAACAACGACTGTCTCTCAGGGAAATTGGAGGGCTGTAAAGGACGCGGGCGTCTGTAAATGAGGCTGGCCTTTGATTCAGCTCTGCTGGCTGCTACTGTAATCAGTCACCCGAGGCAACACCGTGATTACGGATGACCTTGGATCAGGCAGGAGGCCTGAATAAAACAAATGTGTGATTGTGGTTTCGACTTGGCCGGTTTGGATCTGTCTTACAGTCTCAGATTTAAAACCGGCCGAGTTTACTAATAATGTCCTCTGTTTTACACAATATATCAGTATATAAAGTATGTTGTAGAATGCTTTAACAAAACATTACCATGGTTAATATCAGTATGTCATAAGTATTTAAGCAAATTTCCTAAACATACAATAAGTAAAACATTTTTTTGTAAATTGTTGTTGACTCAAGGTCAATACTGCCATCTAGTGGCACTGTTATTCCACGTTTCTAATTAAATTCTAGTTGTAACACATTGCTTGTCTATTAACGTACAGCAGTAACATTGCTAGTATGGACTGTAATAATTTTATTTGCACACGTCACTAATTAATTTAAATGTCACATATTTGGCTGCACCATCATAATTCTTTTGCACAAAGAAACACTTTTTTTCTTTGGGTCTCTATTTAAAAAAAAACAGCATATTTGGACATAAAAACATTATTTAAAATATATTAAATATTATAAGGGTTCGTGATCACGAGAAACTAATTACCAGTGACTGTAACCTTATTTACACTTTATTTTTTTATGACTTTTTAATTATGTATCTTCTTCTTGTTCTTATTATATGCATATAAACTTAAACGATAGCCAGATAAATGTTAATTCACAGTCATTTTACTGGTTGAAATATGCATAAATAAAATAAAGACACAATAAATAAATAAATAAACAATTAACCGAATGAATAAATAAATCCTTGTCGTTTAATGAGAGTAATAAAAAAACAAACATAAATTCGCTACGTCCCCGAATTGGTTGCCTTGCGGAAGTGCGTCACATTGTTTACAACTCAAACGGATACGGGTTATATGTAGGCACCAGCGTAGCCACAAATTCCTTAGCGTGATTTACAGATTTACGAGCACAGTGTCTGTTTTATCTGCTTATGTTTTGTATTAATGTGTCACGTGCGCAGCGAACAAGGTATCTATTCATAACTGCAAATTCACGTCACCGCACAGAAATAAAGTCACGAGTGCCAGTGCACCCTCTAGGTAGGATA